AGTACTAGTATCAGTGAACATCACAATAATGTTAATAATGTAGTTTGTGTAAACAGCATGCTTACTTTTTTTATTTCAGATGTGAGAATAACAGTGTAAAAGAACCTGTTGCAAAGAGAGCCAAAGCAAAGCAGCCCACTTGGTCATGGAAACCAGAGTCTGATGTTGACATGTTCCTCAGGCTCTGAGATTCCTGCCTGCACAGGAACCTGGACCACAGCTAAGACCATGTGAAGCACACACTCCCATGATTCTCCACTGCCCTCAGCCCCTGCATCGCTCACACGTCAAGTCCCTCAAAAAATAAAAACGCCACCGCCCTCAGCCCTTGCGTCGCTCGCACGTCAAGTCCCTCAAAAATAAAAATGCCACCACCCTCATCCCCACGTCGCTCGCACTTCAATTTCCTCAAAAAACAAACATAAAGGCTGCCGCCCTCTGCCTTTTTGTTTGTTTATTTAGGGAATTGACTTAAAAAACAAAAAGGCCTCTGCCCTCAGCCCCTGCGTCACTTGCACGTTAAGTCACTCAAAAAACAAAAAGGCCTCTGCCCTCAGCCTCTGCGTCACTCGCACATCAAGTCCCTCAAAAAACAAAAAGGCCAATGCTCTCAGCCCTTGCGTCGCTCGCACGTCAAGTCCCTCAAAAAATGAAAAGGCCACCGCCTTCAGCCCCTGCGTCGCTCGCACTTCGATTTCCTCAAAAAACAAACATAAAAGCTGCCGCCCGCAGCCTTTTTGTTTGTTTTTTTAGGGAATTGACTCAAAAACCTAAAAGGCTGCCGCCCTCTGTCCCTACGTCGCTCGCACGTCCAGTCCCTCAAAAAACAAAAAGGCCTCTGCCCTCAGCCCCTGTGTCACTCGCACGTCAAGTCCCTTAAAAAACATAAAGGCCACCGCCCTCAACCTCTGTGTTGCTCGCATATCACATCCCTTAAAAAAAAAGCCACCGCCCTGAGCCCCTGCGTCGCTCGCACGTCAAGTCCCTCAAAAAACAAAATGGCCGCCGCCCTCAGCCCCTGCCTCGCTCACACGTCACGTCCCCCCAAAAAAACAAAATGGGAATTGACTCGAAAAGCAAAAAGGATGCTGCCCTAAGCCCCTGCATCGCTCGCACGTCAAGTCTCTCAAAAAACAAACAAAAAAGGCAGCCGCCCCCTGTCCCTGCGTCACTCGTACGTCCAGTCCCTCAAAAAACAAAAAGGCCACCGCCCTCCGCCCTTACGTCGCTCGCACGTCAAGTCCCTCAAGAAACAAAAAGGCAACCGCCCTCAACCCTTGCGTCGCTCGCACGTCAAGTCCCTCAAAAAACAAAAAGGCCACCGCCCTCCGCCCCTGCGTCGCTCGCACGTCAAGTCCCTCAAAAAACAAAATGGGAATTGACTCAAAAAGCAAAAAGGATGCTGCCCTAAGCCCCTGCATCGCTCGCACGTCAAGTCCCTCAAGAAACAAAAAGGCAACCGCCCTCAACCCTTGCGTCGCTCGCACGTCAAGTCCCTCAAGAAACAAAAAGGCCACGGCCCTCAACCCTTGCGTTGCTCGCACGTCAAGTCCCCAAAAAAAACAAAAAGTCCTCCGTCCTCAGCCCCTGCGTCGCTCGCACTTCAAGTCCCTCAAAAAACAAAAAGGCCGCCGCCCTCAGCCCCTGCGTCGCTCGCACGTCAAGTCCCTCAAGAAACAAAAAGGCAACCGCCCTCAACCCTTGCGTTGCTCGCACGTCAAGTCCCTCAAGAAACAAAAAGGCAACCGCCCTCAACCCTTGCGTTGCTCGCACGTCAAGTCCCTCAAGAAACAAAAAGGCAACCGCCCTCAACCCTTGCGTTGCTCGCACGTCAAGTCCCTCAAGAAACAAAAAGGCAACCGCCCTCAACCCTTGCGTCGCTCGCACGTCAAGTCTCTCAAAAAACAAACAAAAAAGTCCACCGCCCCCTGTCCCTGCGTCGCTCGCACGTCAAGTCCCTCAAAAAACAAAAAGGCCTCTGCCCTCAGCCCCTGCTTCACTCGCACGTCAAGTCCCTCAAAAAACAAAAAGGCCTCTGCCCTCAGCCCCTGCTTCACTCGCACGTCAAGTCCCTCAAAAAACAAAAAGGCCTCTGCCCTCAGCCCCTGCTTCACTCGCACGTCAAGTCCCTCAAAAAATGAAAAGGCCACCGCCCTCTGTCCCTGCGTCGCTCGCACGTCCAGTCCCTCAAAAAATGAAAAGGCCACCGCCCTCTGTCCCTGCGTCGCTCGCACGTCCAGTCCCTCAAAAAATGAAAAGGCCACCGCCCTCTGTCCCTGCGTCGCTCGCACGTCCAGTCCCTCAAAAAATGAAAAGGCCACCGCCCTCTGTCCCTGCGTCGCTCGCACGTCCAGTCCCTCAAAAAATGAAAAGGCCACCGCCCTCTGTCCCTGCGTCGCTCGCACGTCCAGTCCCTCAAAAAATGAAAAGGCCACCGCCCTCTGTCCCTGCGTCGCTCGCACGTCCAGTCCCTCAAAAAATGAAAAGGCCACCGCCCTCTGTCCCTGCGTCGCTCGCACGTCCAGTCCCTCAAAAAATGAAAAGGCCACCGCCCTCTGTCCCTGCGTCGCTCGCACGTCCAGTCCCTCAAAAAATGAAAAGGCCACCGCCCTCTGTCCCTGCGTCGCTCGCACGTCCAGTCCCTCAAAAAATGAAAAGGCCACCGCCCTCTGTCCCTGCGTCGCTCGCACGTCCAGTCCCTCAAAAAATGAAAAGGCCACCGCCCTCTGTCCCTGCGTCGCTCGCACGTCCAGTCCCTCAAAAAATGAAAAGGCCACCGCCCTCTGTCCCTGCGTCGCTCGCACGTCCAGTCCCTCAAAAAATGAAAAGGCCACCGCCCTCTGTCCCTGCGTCGCTCGCACGTCCAGTCCCTCAAAAAATGAAAAGGCCACCGCCCTCTGTCCCTGCGTCGCTCGCACGTCCAGTCCCTCAAAAAATGAAAAGGCCACCGCCCTCTGTCCCTGCGTCGCTCGCACGTCCAGTCCCTCAAAAAATGAAAAGGCCACCGCCCTCTGTCCCTGCGTCGCTCGCACGTCCAGTCCCTCAAAAAATGAAAAGGCCACCGCCCTCTGTCCCTGCGTCGCTCGCACGTCCAGTCCCTCAAAAAATGAAAAGGCCACCGCCCTCTGTCCCTGCGTCGCTCGCACGTCCAGTCCCTCAAAAAATGAAAAGGCCACCGCCCTCTGTCCCTGCGTCGCTCGCACGTCCAGTCCCTCAAAAAATGAAAAGGCCACCGCCCTCTGTCCCTGCGTCGCTCGCACGTCCAGTCCCTCAAAAAATGAAAAGGCCACCGCCCTCTGTCCCTGCGTCGCTCGCACGTCCAGTCCCTCAAAAAATGAAAAGGCCACCGCCCTCTGTCCCTGCGTCGCTCGCACGTCCAGTCCCTCAAAAAATGAAAAGGCCACCGCCCTCTGTCCCTGCGTCGCTCGCACGTCCAGTCCCTCAAAAAATGAAAAGGCCACCGCCCTCTGTCCCTGCGTCGCTCGCACGTCCAGTCCCTCAAAAAATGAAAAGGCCACCGCCCTCTGTCCCTGCGTCGCTCGCACGTCCAGTCCCTCAAAAAATGAAAAGGCCACCGCCCTCTGTCCCTGCGTCGCTCGCACGTCCAGTCCCTCAAAAAATGAAAAGGCCACCGCCCTCTGTCCCTGCGTCGCTCGCACGTCCAGTCCCTCAAAAAATGAAAAGGCCACCGCCCTCTGTCCCTGCGTCGCTCGCACGTCCAGTCCCTCAAAAAATGAAAAGGCCACCGCCCTCTGTCCCTGCGTCGCTCGCACGTCCAGTCCCTCAAAAAATGAAAAGGCCACCGCCCTCTGTCCCTGCGTCGCTCGCACGTCCAGTCCCTCAAAAAATGAAAAGGCCACCGCCCTCTGTCCCTGCGTCGCTCGCACGTCCAGTCCCTCAAAAAATGAAAAGGCCACCGCCCTCTGTCCCTGCGTCGCTCGCACGTCCAGTCCCTCAAAAAATGAAAAGGCCACCGCCCTCTGTCCCTGCGTCGCTCGCACGTCCAGTCCCTCAAAAAATGAAAAGGCCACCGCCCTCTGTCCCTGCGTCGCTCGCACGTCCAGTCCCTCAAAAAATGAAAAGGCCACCGCCCTCTGTCCCTGCGTCGCTCGCACGTCCAGTCCCTCAAAAAATGAAAAGGCCACCGCCCTCTGTCCCTGCGTCGCTCGCACGTCCAGTCCCTCAAAAAATGAAAAGGCCACCGCCCTCTGTCCCTGCGTCGCTCGCACGTCCAGTCCCTCAAAAAATGAAAAGGCCACCGCCCTCTGTCCCTGCGTCGCTCGCACGTCCAGTCCCTCAAAAAATGAAAAGGCCACCGCCCTCTGTCCCTGCGTCGCTCGCACGTCCAGTCCCTCAAAAAATGAAAAGGCCACCGCCCTCTGTCCCTGCGTCGCTCGCACGTCCAGTCCCTCAAAAAATGAAAAGGCCACCGCCCTCTGTCCCTGCGTCGCTCGCACGTCCAGTCCCTCAAAAAATGAAAAGGCCACCGCCCTCTGTCCCTGCGTCGCTCGCACGTCCAGTCCCTCAAAAAATGAAAAGGCCACCGCCCTCTGTCCCTGCGTCGCTCGCACGTCCAGTCCCTCAAAAAATGAAAAGGCCACCGCCCTCTGTCCCTGCGTCGCTCGCACGTCCAGTCCCTCAAAAAATGAAAAGGCCACCGCCCTCTGTCCCTGCGTCGCTCGCACGTCCAGTCCCTCAAAAAATGAAAAGGCCACCGCCCTCTGTCCCTGCGTCGCTCGCACGTCCAGTCCCTCAAAAAATGAAAAGGCCACCGCCCTCTGTCCCTGCGTCGCTCGCACGTCCAGTCCCTCAAAAAATGAAAAGGCCACCGCCCTCTGTCCCTGCGTCGCTCGCACGTCCAGTCCCTCAAAAAATGAAAAGGCCACCGCCCTCTGTCCCTGCGTCGCTCGCACGTCCAGTCCCTCAAAAAATGAAAAGGCCACCGCCCTCTGTCCCTGCGTCGCTCGCACGTCCAGTCCCTCAAAAAATGAAAAGGCCACCGCCCTCTGTCCCTGCGTCGCTCGCACGTCCAGTCCCTCAAAAAATGAAAAGGCCACCGCCCTCTGTCCCTGCGTCGCTCGCACGTCCAGTCCCTCAAAAAATGAAAAGGCCACCGCCCTCTGTCCCTGCGTCGCTCGCACGTCCAGTCCCTCAAAAAATGAAAAGGCCACCGCCCTCTGTCCCTGCGTCGCTCGCACGTCCAGTCCCTCAAAAAATGAAAAGGCCACCGCCCTCTGTCCCTGCGTCGCTCGCACGTCCAGTCCCTCAAAAAATGAAAAGGCCACCGCCCTCTGTCCCTGCGTCGCTCGCACGTCCAGTCCCTCAAAAAATGAAAAGGCCACCGCCCTCTGTCCCTGCGTCGCTCGCACGTCCAGTCCCTCAAAAAATGAAAAGGCCACCGCCCTCTGTCCCTGCGTCGCTCGCACGTCTAGTCCCTCAAAAAACAAAAAGGCCTCTGCCCTCAGCCCCTGAGTTGCTCGCAGGTCAAGTCTCTCAAAAAACAAAAAGGCCACCGCTCAGGCCACCGCCCTCCGCCCTTACGTCGCTCGCACGTCAAGTCCCTCAAGAAACAAAAAGGCCACCACCCTCAGCCCCTGCATCGCTCGCACGTCCAGTCCCTCAAAAAACAAAAAGGCCGCCGCCCTCAGCCCCTGCGTCGCTCACACATCACGTCCCCCCAAAAAAGACAAAAAGGGAATTGACTCAAAAGTCAAAAAGGCTGCTGCCCTAAGCCCCTGCATCGCTTGCACGTCAAGTCTCTCAAAAAATAAACAAAAAAGGCCACCGCCCTCTGTCCCTGCGTCGCTCGCATGTCCAGTCCCTCAAAAAACGAAAAGGCCACCGCCCTCAGCCCCTGCGTCGCTCGCACTTCAATTTCCCCAAAAAACAAACATAAAGGCTTTTTGTTTGTTTTTTGAGGGAAATGAATCAAAAAACATAAAGGCTGCTGCCCTAAGCCCCTGCATCGCTCGCACGTCAAGTCTCTCAAAAAATAAACAAAAAAGGCAGCCGCCCCCTGTCCCTGCGTCACTCGTACGTCCAGTCCCTCAAAAAACAAAAAGGCC